GTAACACAGGTTTGATCTTAACTGAACATGTTGTGGTTTTTCCATATGATCGAAAAAATGATGTAAATATTTGTCCTAGATATTGTTTAATGAAGATTCCTTTGGGATAAAAAAAAACAAAACAAAAAAAAAAAACAGTGTTGTGGTCCAAAGAGCCTGTGTTGATCTTTCCTCGCTGGCATTCCAGCAGTCAACTTAACTTGGCCTTTGAATAAATTATGTGGTTATCGTTTGATCTGTCTTGCAACATATAACGGCTGATGTGGGTTTGTGAGGTAAACCATATAGCCTCTTTGTGCTACCCCACATTTTTTTTCCCAGTTATTGATTTTGCTTTCAGTTTGATTTCCTCTTTGGTGTACTAATTAAACAGCCTAGCACTCAGCAGGGGAGCTATAGCCTGCTATTTCATTTACTGGTTATTACCGTCATGGTATCACTAATCAATGCAGGTCTTATTATAAGACACAGCTACAATGGTTATTGCAGTGCACAGAAAGGAGGTGTACAATAGGTGTGATTGGACATAGGGACAACGCCTGTCCATTGCCAGAGCTACAGGCTTCAGTCACTTGAAAATTCAATCGTTTTCTTTCATCCAGTTCTGACAGAAATTTCCGGAGGATGTTCTCTTCTATTTTTTTTCCTTTTTAGCCAAAAGCAATCCACAAACATTGAAGACAGCACATTTTCCTTTTCTCTTGGCTGATGTATCTTGCTTTGTTTTATAACTGGGAGGTACAAGAAAGACACGCTTTTTGCATAATCCCCTTAGCTTGAAATCAGCAGTGTATCACTTGTTTTTGAAAATGCGCTTGTTTGATATATTGAAAGACCAGAATAAATATGAAAGAGTGCAGGCTTTGATTAGTTTTGAGTTTTGAGCGACGATGGCAAACTGCCTTCTCTGAATTAAGTGCAGGTTCATCTAGAAAGCATTCAGAGAGCGCATACTGCCGCCAAAGCTGCACAATCCTCAAAATTTGTTGCTTTGATGATAGAACATTTTTTAAAAGTTGCATCAGAATTTGAGATCTGCACCAAAATATTTAAAATCTACAATCTCGCTGATTCATGATTAGGTTTTATCAGGGCTTTGTGCAAGTATAAACTTTCAAGCTCGTGATAACTGAGTTATGGCCATTTCAATTCATCATATTGCTGTACCGCCACCTATACGCAAACTGCCATCAAGGATTGCAAAATCACTCAGAGTTGATTTGTGCACTAAATATGGCACCAATTATACAGTCAGCTCAAGAGTTATGGCAGTATATTTCAAATAGGCCTTCGAGAATTAGGCAACTATTTATAAGACCAAAAGTATGAAACATTAAAAATAAGATACCTTTTTTTTCATCCTACAACATTTTGTACGAGAGATGGTAAAGGCTGGATGACATATCCAGCGGGTACAAGTGCCCTGGTAAAACAAGGAGTGCAGTACAGTATACCTAGACATATTAAGATACAACAGGGGGCTCATTACTGTATCCATTTTGCTTCAGCTATTTCCTGCATTCTCTCTAAGGTGAAATATTGGATTTGCTCTCTGAAATCTGTTTAGCCGCAAGCTTTCCTCATTATTTATCATTTCTGAGGACAGAGTAATTGATTGTGGTGCTGAGAGGAAACCACAGGCAAACAGATAAGTAATTACACACTTGTTTTGTGGAAATACTTCTTACTTCAATTACTAAACTGCTCAAAAATATTCTTAATCACCTATATAAATGTATAGAGACCCAGGGAATATATGATAGGAATATATGCTATCTGGGTTCTTGATGAGGACAGGGGAATGTATACTCTCCAAGAGGAAAGGTAGGAAATTGAAAAATAATCTCTTATTTTAAAAGTTTTTGTCTGGGAGGAAGATAAGGGACAGAAGTGTGATAGAAATGAAAAAGAATTATATACTATTGTGAGAACTCACACTCTGAAGTTGAAATGAAACAGAACATATAGAGACTCTGTTTCTGCATCGCCTCAAGGGATACCTGCAAAACTGTTTAACTCAGGCTTCTCCTTCTAATGGTTACTGTGTCGTCTCAGTGTTGCATGCCTTCAAACTGAAAATCTGTGTGCAGTGTACACACACACAGACAAAAAGACAGTATTTAATCCCCTGGGATGTGTCCCTTAAATAAGGCCAGTGGCCGTCTTTGGCCTCGTGTACTTTTACAGCAACACTCATGACAATATAGCCAAGGATGGCTTCGTCAGAAACACTGGGATAAATTTTGTTCCTCTTGCCCTCGCTCTGCTGGCACTGTGCACCTGCATCAGCAGTGTTTCATCACCTCGGTGCTCAGCACAGTTGCATCGCGGGCTGACTAGAGTGTCCTCGTTGACAGCAGTGGGCCTTTTTCCAGCAATTTCTTTGCTGTGATGGCACTGTGGTGGCTCTCTCTCTCTCGAGCCCTGTTCCTCTTCTTCTGCGTGACACGCCTCTCAGCACTAAAGAGTGAGGGCGATATTATAGGTTAGGTTAGGAAGTAGCTAAATGAAAAACATGAGCAGGTTACATTAAAAAAAGGATTCTTTCGAGCTTCTTTTTCATCGAATGGCCCTATGCGGACTGCGGGTTAGCCTTTAGTTTCTTTCTTTAAATGGACCATTAGTCCAGTTTACACAGCACCAGACACCTGACATAGTTAGGCTCCTCTATCAGCGCTGGAATGAACTTGTCCTGTCCAAAAAGTTCTGTGTCAGATAGATTAAGCCACATTTTGTCCCACAGGCTGAATATGGCCACAATCTGGTTTCTGTCATGAGGTGTGATGCTGCACTCCTGCCCACCTTCCCACCATCTGCTTAAGCAGTCAACTTTTTGTTGGGTGTAAGCTGTGACACTTTATTGCCATGTCACACTGTCAGCGTCAGGGGCAGAGGGTATAGTTCTGTGATAGATGATGGAAATGATAGAGGGGAAGTGAGCAGAGGTTATACAGGGTAGAAAACATGTGAATAGGACAATACTGACAGCTCACTTGAAGTGGCAGTGACCCCTGTTTACCAGCAAGTGGAAATTCTGTGGAAAAACACTGGTGTTCTCCTTTGGGAGTGCATGTGACAGCTCGAGTGAATGCAGTCCGGTCAGGACCCAAGGCTGGTGACAGGTGAACCGGTATCTGAAATATGATGATGGTTATACTGTATGTACTGTATGTGTACTGTAAACCTATAGTTTTCTTAACATAGGTGCCCAGTTTGTAGGAAGTCACCCTTGTGAAAACTTAAAGCTGCAATAATCAAATACTGATCACAGCAATATCCTGAAAACACAGAGTGCTGTCTCAAGGTTTATTGTCACTACAAACATACCTGTAACAGTGAGTGACGCATAGAGAAACACAGAGATGAATCGAGTGACTTTATCACCAAAAGTGTTTGACTTTTCATTAAGAGATATCTTACTATGTCTATAAAAACAAGGAAGTGTCACCGCTGTCCCCAAAACACAGACAGCACTGGTTTACAGTAGAAATTAAAAGATTCAATAACACCACAAAATATACCTTTCAGCCACTGTAGAGAGTGACTGAGCAAATGCCTCAGTGTGATAAAAAGAGAAAAATGTGGCTGTTATCATCAGTATCTGAGCTGTAGTAATACTATCAATGACAGAAGCAAAGAATATTACATGCATGTGAAGTCATCTCTGTTCAGCAACACAAAACCTCAGCGTGAGACCCATGATAACAGTATTGTCTTTAACAGCAGCAGCACATCAACATATTATTTTTTTATTAACTGCTGCTATTTTGTTTACTTATCTAGATTATTTCAGGGCATCGTGATTAGACATACAAAAATATATTTTAGCATGCTGCTACAAAACCTATTATATGGCTGGACTGCAGTTTCAGCCCATTATCTGTTTGCTTCTCTCCTACTCTCAGTGCTCACATATACAGTATTTTAATACAGCTGAATTTCCATTACAGCTGTTCTCATTTACATGTTTCTGTTTTTCAGACAACAGAACAAGTATGAAATAGTGACTGAAACAGCCCATTAAGTCTACATATTAGCCCCCAAGCCGTTTTCAAGTGGCTGCTCTGCTGCTGCTAAAATCCTGATTTTACAACCACACCGTCATCTGACAAAATCACCAAACACATAAAGACAAAAGGCTGTGCTGTGGTTTTAGCTATATTTAACTGCAAAATGATGACTCAAAGAGAAAGTTAGAAGCAACAGAATATTAGTGTTTTCACATATAGTCCTTTTTAAATGAACCAAACTCCTGTTAAAGTGGACCAACAGAAAAGCATTGTGAGCTCATTTGAAAGTGGACTTAGTTCTCTTTATGGTCCACTTCAGCTCTGATGGACCTTCAGTCCGTGTGTGTGTGTGTGTGTGTGTGTGTGATTATGTGAGAGATGTGAGATGTTTTTTCGAGCGTCCAAGTGCAACAGCATGTTAACTGCATTGTCTTCAGTGGAAGGCTTAGGTACAAGGGCTACATTTAAGCTTGTGAAAAGAAAGGCACATGTGTGTAACTTTTTGTCACTGGAAAAATCTTAATCATCAAATGATGCTGAATGGAGCTAAGTGAGTCTTTCCCAGGGGAAATCTGTTGATAATCAGCTCTCTCTGCCCAAAACCCCTTTAGTTGCCGTAAAAATTGAGCACAATAAGAAATATTAATGCATAGTTTTCTTGTTCTAATCAGATTGTACTGAACACCAGTGGGAATCTAACAAAATCAAACGAAAATATGAAGCATGGAGGTGTTATAGGAAGGCACATTTGTCTTGTTTACGGTCCCATACCTGCCAATGACAGACATCTCTTCGCCCCACTGAGTTCAGTTTGTTCAGAAAATAATCACCTTTGGTGCTTGATGTGATCGTACTAGTTTGTTTGATGCATGCAGAAACCTTTTGTCGATGCAGAGTAGGGCTGCAACTAACAATTACTCTGATCGTTCATTAACATGCTGATTGTGTTCTAAGTTAATCGATTAATTGTTTGATCCATAAAATATCTGA